AACTTGAGATCACAATGTAGCAGCACATTATTATAAAGCATGATGTGTCATGCCATGTGAAATTAATATTTCTGAGTGAAACTATTAATATAGACACTGCTATTCAAAACCCTGGGGGCTGTAAGATTTTTATAAATTAATAATTTTATTCAGCAAGAATGCATTCAATAGATCAAATGTGACAGTGAAGACATTTATAATTTTACAAAAGATCTTTTATTTCAAACAAATGTTCTTTCTAATGTCCTATTCAAAGAGTTCAGAAAAAAAAATGTATCACGGTTTCCACAAAAATATTAAGCAGCACAAATGTTTTCAACATTGATAATAAAGGTTTCCTGAGCACCAAAACGGCACATTAGAAGGATTTCTAAAGGATCATGTGATTGCTGAAATTCAACTATGCCAAAACAGGAATAATGTACATTTTAATATAAATTCAAATAAAAAAAAACTGGTATTTAACCTGCATCATCATCTTTACTATATTTTGATCAAACAAATGCAGACTTTATGAGAATTAAGACATCTTTACACAGCTGACTGCTCTATGCCTGCTCAAAATGCTGCATTAAAGCCAGACTAAATTATGCCTGCTCAGACACACCTCAGCTCCCAGTGACAAAGTATACAGTTGTACTGGGAGTGTAAAGGCATTTAAGCCACCTCCAAGCAGCATTACACAGTCTGTGTAAAGACACCTAAATGCCACTTCGGATGCACTTCTGTGCCATCTTTGCAATGTAAATTTGGCATAAGAGACTTTAATGCTACCAGCATTCAAAAAGTCGTAATGTAGATAAATTACGCTGTTCAGTGAATCCAATCTATAACATGCTTCTGGCAATCATCAGCAACCATCCATGACGCCTGTCAAACAACTAGAGGGAGTGTACAGCAAACTTGGCACAATATCTTAAACCATAATGATCAGAGAACGTCCAAAGCACACAAGGTACCACATTTATTCAAAGCATTCACACTTTGATAAGCAACATGCACAAGCTTGCCTTTTCAGCATGTTTACATTTGCATGCAAGATGCTGTTAGTTATGCAGTGAGCAGTCATTAAATTAGTACATTAATTGCTGCCTACATCGTTGGGCTGGAAAGACGGACACATTTACTGCAGTGATAATCACATCACATCGTGACAGATCATCAGAGTCCCAACGATCAGAGAAGTATCGGGTCTGCATTCAAAGAATCAGCTGACATACATATGAGACCAGCTCGTCCCTAATGACAGCATATTTTATATGCAAACGAGCTAAATAACGGTCAAAAACCTCGGTTATGTTTCATAACCTTGAAGTAAACGAACAAATATGCTGTCCGGGTCGAGCCATCATCGTGTTTTGAGAAACAACCAAGTTGTTTGATTATTTTGAAGCTCGTTTGAATACTAAACATGTCAGGTTACTACTTATTGATTATATCTAACTCCAAATATGCTGTCTAGGTTGGAAGTTCGCTAGGTTTTGAAACACAGCCCTCATTATCCTTATTCTCAACCGGTATGCTGCAAAAAATGACCATTTGAATGATTAAATTTTTCTGTATTTACCCAAACGGAACTGCACACGGCAAGGTCAGCCTTGAATGTAACATGTACAAATGATAAAATAGAGGTATGTGTTGACACGGGCGTTAGCCAACTGTTGCTAGCTAACATGACATTGATGAAACGACGTGTTGAATTGCCGACAACATACACCTGTAACGAACCGCAAAAACTACAGACCGGAGCGGGATCATTTCGTATATTTATAGCGATAACGTTCACAGAATACACACCCGTGGTGCCGTCGATATATTCACGACTAAAGGAGAAAAAACAAGCTGAAGTATTTCTCCAACGGCCGCGTCCGCCATTTTGAGACACGGAGAAAAGGAGGCGCAAAAATTACAGCTACAACACTTCGACCGGCGATTTTTATCTAACATAACCGCAAAGAGAGACACAAATGGGCTGTTCTTACCCTACACAGTCAGCACTGAATGTTATTCCTCAGAAGACGCTGGTAAGGAACGAAATAGGTGTTGAAAAGGGGGCTGAAGTCTCGGGGTCTGCCTCCTTGCAGCGCCGCATTCGCCTCTACAGTCCGACTCTACACGGCACGGGAGCGCGCATGGGCTGACTTCAGCAGGCGGAGGCGCGCACGCCCTTCAATCTCACGCCCTCCTTTCAAATACTGTGGGCGTTTCTTGAATAAATATTCATCTCAACACCTCGTATTGCAGATAACTTCAAAAACGGACCGTGAAAAATTATTTCTCACATGAGCCACATCAATGACTTTAATCTGGGTACAATCAGAGCGCATGACCTCTATTTGTGAGAGTTTCAGCTGGAGTCAAAACAACACCTGTGTCATGCTCATGTCAGGCGCACAAACCAGTTTACATTTTTCAGGCTTTGAGTGAACTTTTTAGTCACCTGAAGCAAAATATTTGTCTATTAGTTGTTATAGTCTTCATCAAGTTTATACACATAACTAAAAACGTTAGCGCCTTTAAAACTGTAGACAATGGGTACATTTAACTCTTTGAAAACAAAGTGTAAATGTTTTGTTTAGACACAGTATAGACAATATTTAAATGAATGTAATCACATGTTGTTTTCTAGTTTCTTTATTCATTTTAATACAAAAGGATAATCGGACCAAAAATAATTAGACTGTTTAGAAGAATTTACATTAAGGTACCACTCATTAAAGAAACCAAAACAGACACACAAAGGGCATGACAAATATTTCATGTCAAAAACACGCAAATCACAAAAAAATAAAGAAGAAATCCACAGATATACACTTTGCATCCATAGAATACAAAATGATATGTTTGTTCAACACCAGATGACATTGAGACTGAGCACTGTATATTGCTCTATGTATATATTAGAGCAAATGTAACAATGTGCTGCAGACTGAGGGCAACGGGTGTCTTAATTGTGATATTTAAATTACGAGTGTTTAAATGGGCAAAATTTCTTTTTTTAAATGTCCAATCGCTTTTTTTTCCCCTGACGATTTTAAAATAAAAAAATTCAATTTCTTTGTCTTTTCACACAGAAACATTCACATTTGTGATTAAACTGTAATTTGAATAATAATATGAATATTATACCCAGGAAGACATTCAAGACACTTCAAATTAAAGATTATAATCCAAAAAGAAAAATTAACAAAAATAACTGCTATTTTATTTCTGCGTCTTTGTTGTCAATAAAACCCAAACCTTTCTAAAAATACTACACATCTAGATTACATCATATTGGTTTGTCATGCAAGCAGTTATTGAAATCTTGAATTGACATGTTGCTTTGCTACATAACATGAACACATTTTTGAACATGAACACAGATTTGGTGATTATTATGAAAATGACCTTTTGTGGTTAAATTTAAAACACTGTTTGAATCCACTGGTTGGTTAAGTGCCTGGCTCAAGGACAAACTAGAAACAGGATTTTCTCATTAACCCTTCAGTTCAAAGGTCACGCTTACTCGACATTGAACTTGTGATGCATCTGTTACAAACTTAGAACTTTAACCATTAAGCTATCACCATCACCATAAATACTTAAGATCCTATTGAACTCCAGATTCAACGTTTTGATTCAAACCTAGTTCATGTATTCTAATGCAATACATCAAAAATTGAGTTTATGTCCATCATGAGAGTTAATATATTGACTACAGCACACCCATGTGGCACCTAAGGGTACTGAAGTAGATTTTCAATGATTTCTGTCCAACATCCAAGCTTTCTGATTGCAAAATCCATCAATAAACGATTAAGCAGATATAAAAGAAATACAGTTGCCCAATCTTTTGACTTATATAAGCTTAAACAGGCTCAAATCTCACACATAACTACATATTATTGTTCATAAATATCAATTACCAGTTACATCGCTTTTTCCCCACCAATTTTCATAGACAAACCAATTTTTAAAAACTGTAGTTTTTGTTTTATAGGGAAATACAACCAAGCTAGCAGTTTTGTTGCATCCATGTGCATAATCCAAGGTGCAATTAGTTCCAGCATATTGCTTCATACAGTTTGAGCACAACATTTGCAGGACACACACAGTACAGCATGTACACAAGCAAACACATCATCCTTGATCTTTTTTTTT